ATTTTGTGTGCAGGGAGTATTTGCTTTTGTTGTTAGAGCATTTCATAGAATTATATATTGCATGTAAAATAAATTTTTATTAGCCAATATTGTAAACAATAAACAGTTTTACATTTGTAGACCTTTTACCTTTTAACAAAACCATCAACCACCACTTTCTGGCAGGTAAGGGCTGTGACAGATCTGTGTAGGTTTACGATATGAATGTGTTTATGATAATGTATTTGTTTTCTAGGGTACTTTTTACTCCTTTGGATTTATTTATTTTTTTTACAAATGACTATTAATTAATTTATTTATTTTTTTGCAGGGTTTGAAAGTATACTAGAGGGAATATATGGACCAAGGCTGCTGCAAGATCTCAATATATTTGATGGTGAGTTTTATGTTGTGTGTGTGGTAATATTCATCCATGCTTGGTCTTAGAAAATTCAACCTTTTTTTGACGCTGATGATTATTCATATGATTCTCCCTCAGAGTGTGAACCAGAGGATGTGGATGATTGGTCCATTAATGCAAACTGCTCTTTTTGCAACCTGCAGCTAGAGAAACCGAATGTAAGTCAACCCTCAAAAGCCACAGAAAAGGTGTGCTTATTCTGGGGTGTTTGTTAGCAAGAACAGTCATGCTTTGACATTTGTATAGGACAAATAGTTGCTGATTAGCAGCTGTTGTTCTGTTTGTTAATGCAGTCTCTTTATAATATGGTTAAACAAGTTCATTAATTATAACTAAGGACAACTCAAGCCTGTGAGACTGTAGTTAACACTTGTATGGGCTAGGGCTGCACGATAAATCGAATGAAATCGTAATCGCGATTAGGCAAAAGCTACGATTGTCATGTGTATCTTTCAGTGAAGCACAGTTCTGGGATCAGTAGTAAATCTCCATCCGAAGGACAGAGGGCGCTCTCGCGCAGAAAGTCCAAATACCCCCCCCCTAATAAACACACAACTACGACAATATATGGTTTTCTGAGTTTGTCTTATTATAATTTTCATTATAATACATATTATAATGCAATGCTAATCGACATAGACTTTATCACTGCTTGGAATACTATGAAATATTGCGTGCCTTATTCAGTGTAAAAGAAGCCACATCATCTCACAGAAGGATTTAATTTAACACTCGACTGACGTTATGAAGTGAGTTTGAAAAAAAAAAAAAAAACGTGATTAAATGTGGTATTTTCACGTGCTTTCAGATGGAGCAGCATTTACTACACATAGCTGTAATTCACAGAGAAGCTACGCAAACAAGCTGTCATTATCGCGAACGATTTCTTAGATTTCATAATTGCACGATTGTATCGTCTGCAAATTTTTTTTGCCTTGCATGTCGGTGAACTACGGCTCTGTGTAGTAAATGCTGCTCCATCTGAAAGCAGGTGATGGAGATTTACTACTGATTACAGAACCGACTTTACTGACAAGATGCGCATGACAATCACATTTGATTAATCATGCAGCCCTAGTATGGACTGTATCTGACAGGGGTCAGTAACTGACTATTACTTTTTGTGACCTAGAGCCACCCTGCTGTGGCCGTGCCTGGCTCGCCACCCCCTGCTGAAACCCCCCCACCTCAGGGCCTGTCCACCTCTGATAAACTCCAGTGCCAAGCAGACCGATTCCTCAATGCTATTTTTCGTAAGAAGGGTGAGAAATAAATTTTTACTTCCCTTATCCAAAAGGAGTGAAGTCATTGTGACAGCTATTACGTATTTTACGATTGGTCCAGAGCAGTTTTTTTTTTTTCTCAACTGCTGGTTCATGATCCAAAAATGAGTAGTAGGTCTGTTCGACGATGCTTAATGCAATAAAATGCAGCTTACCATTAAACTCTGTAGAGCAGTGTTTCTCATTGCGTTTGTTTTTTACGGTGAGTATAGTCTAAAGATTCACAACAAAATGAGCTAAAACATTTTTGCAAAAATGTTGCATGGTTTGCAACATTCAAAGTCCGTGTCTACACTGGACAGAATGGGACATCAAATTATTACTTGTTTACAGTGAGAGACTTGGGACTAGGGCTAGGCCATAAAACAATATCATATAGAGTCGCGATAAAATATGTTGATAACGATGATAAGCTCTGGACATTTTTACTCGATATGAATTAATCTAACAGCCAGTCAGTGCTTGTCGCTAATAGGCTAACTGCATGTCTCTGCATAAATGAACGGCACGGTTTTGTCTGATACACGTGACGCTCAGTGTTTTCAGCGTCTGCCTCTTAATAAATAAGGACATCAACATATGAACTTCATCTCCAGAGCTGCTCTGAGAGTCACTTCACAACTTTTCACCCTTTCTTTTGAGCAAAGCTACTGTCAAATACACACTGAAACTGAAAGTAAAATGGAAAGACTTTCACAACAACCCGTCAAAATAAAATTCAAGTGAACAAATTGAAGCAATTATAATAGAAATATATTACTATTGTATACTAATGTAATTCTCAAGTAATAATAATAATAATAATTTTAAGGAATATCATACAACCAAGGTATTTTTTCATTAAGCTATATAGTTAACAGTGCTGTTGTGCAGCATCTTATTTGACAAAAAATACAAATGCAATGTTTTGTTGTAAATTACATTTATATTTGAGTATTTAAAAGATATTTAAAATATTGATTTAAGTGTTAAAGTTGTATTAATTATTTTAATTAGACACCATTTTTT